GATGAGTGTCACTGATACTTAAGCTCACAGCTAATAGCTTTCTATTGATCTCTCTGCTAAACCATGACTTACTAGATGAACAGAGGAGCATTTCTTGCCACAATCCGCTGTGACGCTCGTTTAGAAGTCCATGTTATTAGTGCATATCCCATCTCACCTTGAGAATCATTTGAAAGCTTCTCATACTGCCAAACTCTCAAAGACAAGACCACAAAATTAAGGGTTTGAGATGACTTACTTTCTTCTGCTGAACTAAAAAGTGTTTTCTCAGTGATTTTTACGGTGGCCAAAACGAATCACAATTCTGAAAACAAAATAACAAATTACAAATGCAAATGCAAGTCTAAAAAACAAAATCTTAAAAGTGGCTGAAAAATACGAGCTCCAGTGGTGCAGATGATTAAGCGCTTGACAGTGGCTATTTGACGCGATTGACCCGGGTTCGATCTTGCCTTTTGCCGAACTTTTTTTTCCTCCCTTTTCAAATCTCGTATCAGCAATGGATTCTATTTACACTAAGTGAAAATAGCAGTATTTTTAGCAATATGCTATTTACACTAAGTGCAAATACCTATTTACACAATGTTAAAATAGCAGGATTTCTATGTATACTACTTGTTGAAAATAGTGGCAATTATCTGCACTTCAGTATTGTAGTACATTATAAAACAGTATGCAATAATAACGTATTGAGTGTAAATTATAATTTTAATTTTAATTATTAAATGGATGTCACCTTATTGGTACAATAAAGCCCTCCCTACACCTACCCTAACTGATACTTTATTTTCAACTTTTTGATTATTTCCTTAATTTTTATTGAAAATAAATGCCTTTACTATGTGATACGAGATTTGAAAAGGGAGAAAAAAAAAGTTCGGCAAAAGGCGGGATCGACCCCCGGTCGATCGCGTCAAAAAGCCAATGTCAAGCACTTAACCATCTGCGCCACTGGAGCTGATTTTTTACAGCCACTTTTAACTATATGTAAATATACATTCCGTATTTTTTTTATTCCATAGTGAGGGCAATTCATACATTTAAACTGAGCTACTTTAATATCATCTCCGAACTTTCTACCACGACTCTGCTGTTCTTCGGCTGGTTCTTCCTGTATACGTTGATTGACAGATGTCTCGTCCAGTCAGCAGTGAGTAATCCCAAACCAATGGCGCTGTCTCAAACTATACCTACCTCTTCCGGTTTGTCTGATTTGTCGTTGTGTTTTCTGATTTGTTCATTTGTTTTCGGATTTGTCGTTGTGTTTTCTGATTTGTTCATTTGTTTTCGGATTTGTCGTTGTGTTTTCTGATTTGTTCATTTGTTTTCGGATTTGTCGTTGTGTTTTCTGATTTGTTCATTTGTTTTCGGATTTGTCGTTGTGTTTTCTGACTTGTTATAATGTTTTCTGAATTGTTGTTGTGTTTTCTGAATTGTTATTTTGTTTTTTAGACTTGCATTTGCGTTTGTAATTTGTTATTTTGTTTTCAGAATTGTGATTTGCTTTGCACTTCTCGGCCACCGTAGATTTTTGTCCATGTATTAGATGTCGATGGGGTCCAACGTTGTTTTTGGACCCTGTTGATTAAATTGGATGGGCAAAAACAGTTGAAATAGCTTTTATTGTGTTCCACAGAAGAAAGAAATGCATGATTGAAACAGTTAGAACAAGGATAAGTAAATAATGACCAAATTTTTTCCTTTTTGGGTAAACTATCACTTTAAGAGCAGAGAATTAAATAAAGTAAAAGGTGTTAATAGTTTTATGGGGGTGGGGGGCAGTTATGAGTGTAGCAGATTAAAGACAAATTTTTTGATGTCAGGTGTGCTCTAAATGTGTGTGTGGCTTCTCATTCATGGTCAACAAAATCAGTGACGACTCTGTGCAACTAGAAGGCTGCTTTATTGTTAATAAAAAGTTTCGTGCTCAAATGAAGACAATCTTTTATATGTTCTTACTAAGAGTTCCAGTGGTTGTGCCATACACACCGTTATATGTCCTCCTACAACACTGTGTCAAACAAAACAGTTTGAAAAGCACTTTTGAAATCTTTTCAGCAAAATGGAAAGCATTTTAGTCATGCTAAAAATGGAAGTCCAGTAACTGAATATCGATACAAAAGTGAGTTTCAAAGATGGAAAAAACACAAAAGTCTGGAGGCAAGCTATACTTTTTTTTTTTTTTACAAGCCAAGTGGATGATACACAAAGTACAGAAAACAGAACATCAGAAGATTTCGTAACATCTGGAAGAAGTGGGCTTGTTTTCTTGGTTGGTTTCAGTGTTCCTCTGGCAGTACACCAGACACCTTGTTCAGACTATAGTCCCTGATTTGCACTGTACTCCATTTTGAATTCTCATGTCTTTCCCCCACCATCAACTAAATGTAAAATATGGCACCATCCTCTAAAACTGCAGTGAAATGCAATTCAGAAAATGTAGGAACATGGAGAAAATGCAGAAAAAGGCACACGACAATTAGTGAAGTAGCAATAGAAACAGACCACTGAACACATAAAACCCGGATACGAAATGCATACAAAACTGTTGTTCAGGCCTGAGAGTACCGGCACTGAAGTGTTCGGGGAGGCCTTTAGAGTAAAATACATTAACTGCTCTGTGACTGTTTTAGACTTTCAGGCTCGGGTGGGTGACCACACAATGTCCATAGGCAGGACGGCGCATATATATGTGCATTCACGTGTAAATGTGTGTTTGTATGAGTGTCAATAAAACCTCAAGGTTACAGAGGTGTGCTGGTTGCATAACTCTCTCATCATACAGTATCAGATTTAAATATCCAAGCAGCACTGATAACAATCATGCGCGTGTTCATCTCCAACATAATTTTTTGGGACATCCACTGGACATGTTGCATATAAATGAAATATTACAGTGCTCATTTGTATATCCTTTCATATATATATATATATATATATACACACACATGTATATATTCTTTGTATAATATTCTTGATACATTATATCATTTAATTCCCTTTAATAAAAGTGAAATGTGAGAAAAAAAAATTAAATATGTGACAAGGGCATCAGCTGGAAGCCATTCTATATCATTGTTATAATTTATTATTAGATTAATAGCAGTAATTCTTTAAAATTCTGTATTTACAAAACCCACAACAAAGCATGCCATTTAAAAAAAAATAATATATTACAATGCTTATAGTTTTCCTCAAAAAGTTAATTATTTTCAGCAATTGTGCCATATACATCATAGCCCCCTCCTGTACACTGAATGATACATTAACTTGTCATACAGTCAGTGAGAGTGATTTTTCATTTCACATCTGAACTAAAATGGGAGTTAGGGGGGGAAACTACACGGTAGTCTAAGTGTTTCACCAGGTTTCGTTTGGTTCAAGTCCACAGCACCCACACTGATTTACAGATCTCAGGCAGTAAGCAGACCTACAGGTCTGACAAGTAGAGGAAGTGGGTTTGTAAACTGGTGTGCTCTCCCGCGCTCTGGCTCTCTGGTGGAGTACGTCTGCTGACCCAGCGATTGGAGATGTCGTATGATTTCATAATCCTATACCTATGTATTAGCATTGTTTTACATTATCTGTGATCCACCGTAACACCTCACACTGGGCTAGCCCACACCAGAATAAGCATTCATCCTTATCAAATAGGAGAGGTAATGAAACATTACTCAAAATACTGTAAACGAAAGAATTACTGTTGCAAATTCAAACCATTTCTATTGCACCCAGAGCAAGAAGGGATGGCAGTTTGCTCAAGAGGTAGCAACAAGCCAATTTGTAGCATCACCACCACTGGCTAAAATAAACTGCATACTATCAGAGAATAAGTACCGATCACTTCATTCTAAAAGTGCCACCTTCCTTGTTTTCTTGCTGTGTAAGGCCAGTTTACATGTGTAATCCAAGCTATACCAAATATACATCAGTCACTTTTTTCATTCAACAGGGAGAAAGCTATTAAATGTCTACAGGATGCATTCAAAATGGCTACTCGAGTGCTTTCTTCAACATCTTTAAGACAAAACAAGATGCTAACACAACTGACAACCTCTTTAAATGGTAAACATGAGGATGTGCTGACACGAAGACAAGTAGCTCCAGGAAAATCGAAGAGATGGCCTCCCACCAAGGCCTGACAAAGCATTGTAAGGGTTTAAATGGCATGATGGCTGTACTTTTTGAAGATCTATTGAAGGCCCTACCGGAGCCTCAGCTGCACATTGAGGGGCAGTTGAATCATATTGCTGGTGCAAAAAAGCAAATCAAGGTTTATGAACCCAAGATTTGATTCGAGTGAAATTGTTTCTCCAAATTGTCATCCCAAATTCTCCTCAGGTCCAGGGCAGTGAAACACCCCTACGGGTGTGCGAATGTGCAGTTGCCACATTGTATATCCAAACGAAGGAACAGCTTTGATCGACCACCTTAAAATACGCACATGACACATGGTGTGAGAATCAGTTAATCAGGAAGCAAGCTTTACGAGGGGTAAGTATAAATATACTTGTCATAGCCAGAAGTTAAATATGTTGCTATTGACCAATCATTTCCCAGCTATATATATTTCATTTGATAACTAGTGGACAGTATCGAATGTATGGTCAAGCCACTGATGTGGTTTGAGTAGCAGTGTCAAGTGGACTATGATTATACATGCATGATTCCTGATCAAAAACATGCCACCATGCAAGTCATTTCTATGCACTGAACGAGCACAATTAATTATTTATTTACCAGGAACTCGGTCTGAGTAAGTCCCTTTCAGCCCAAGTCAAAACCCTGATAAATCCCCCAACCCAATATCGATGTGAAAGCCCATGTATAAAATGTATTTTTTCTGTAAGTATAACAAAGAGATGATGACGAGATGAATGACATGGGCTGAGCTTTTTTCCCTACTTTTTGTGGGTCAAATAAGGTGAGATATTCATCACAACAACTGAAAACCCTTGCATAATGTTTCTGTTTTGTTTTTGTTCTTTTTTTTTTTTACCGCGGACACTCCACATGATTGAGTTAACGTCGTTATTACTGGTTCTCCTATGGTTGAAATACAACGTCCCAGAATCCTCCTGGGATGAGCGGGAGGTTTCCGTGGGATTTCGGCAGTGTAGTGTTTGAAAGGGATGTCCATAGCAGAGGAATGCTGAACTCGTGCAAAGGAATCCATCTTATGAGCTTGCTTTGTACTGCTTTGTCCTTTGGCAGGTGGTCCCTATCAAAGATGTCTGCCATAGGTCATTATTTTGTTTCTCCTTGCAAGTGCCTTTCAGCTGCAGTTGGAACAGTAAAGTCTTGGTCACGGAGCACAAATGTTAAGACAGTAAGCTCATAGGTTGGTTTGGTCATCATTAAATCTGTAAAAACCAAGCTGCTTTCCCGGTGCATTTGTTGTCTGTAAACAACCTTGTTCCCCAAAGATTTCTGTGTTTTTTGTTGCAAATGATTTTCTATACATTTGTTGGAATAGATAGCTTCAGTCTCGACTCAACAGTTCAGTCTCCGTCATTCCTAACACTTGGATTCCTTGACCTCTTTTTGGTTTTTGCCCTTTTTGCCCTTGCTGTCACTCTCCTCCAGGTTCTCCTTCTCAGGTTTGGTCACGCTGTCGTAGGACGGCAGCGAGGCAGTAGAAGGCGTGCCCTCCTTCTTGTCCTGATTGGTCCCGCCATTCTCCAGCCTGCTGCAGTTGAGCAAGCGCTTGCAGATGAAGCCTCTCCGAATAAGATAAGCACGGTAAGAACGCTGGATGACCGAGGCAGACATGTGCTCCTGCTTTCGGCGCAGAGTGGTGGTGATGGGCTCAAAAGACGCTTTGGAAGGATTGGCAGCAATGAATCGTTCCTCCATCTGTTGCCGCATCATGTCCAGGTCGCCGCTATCACCCAACACGCGTTTGGTGAAGGCAAACAGGATATCTAGGCAGTGAATACGGTCGCCGCTCACCATGGGCAGGTCCATGGCGATCAGCTCTATAGTGTTGGGCTTGGGAACGCGCAGTGGGTGCTCCAGAGTGTCCGCAAAGTCACCCAGCTTGGCAAAGGTGATAAACTGGGAAGCAGTTGGGTCAAACTTTTCCCAGATTTCGTAGAAGGACTCAAAGTCATCCTCGCAAAGTGGATCAGCACTTTCCTCCGTGGCAACGCTGAAGTTCTCCAGAATGATGGCGATGTACATGTTAACCACGATAAGGAACGAGACAATGATGTACATGACGAAGAAGAAGATGCCCACTGAAGGGTTTCCGCAGTCACCTTTCATCGGGGTACCTGGATTCTCCTTATTCGGGTCACAATCCGGTGGGTAGTTGAGAATGGGAGCAAGAAGGCCATCCCACCCCGCTGAGGTGGTTATCATGAACAGGCAGATCATGCTATTCCCAAATGTTTCAAAATTATACAAGTCATCTATGCCAGACTCCCGCTTTACATAGGCAAAGTTTGACATGCCAAAGATAGAAAAGATGAACATGACCAAGAACAGCAGAAGGCCGATATTGAACAGGGCCGGCAGTGACATCATCAGGGCAAACAGTAAAGTCCGAATGCCCTTTGCTCCTTTGATCAGACGCAAGATACGTCCGATTCGAGCCAGACGGATAACCCTGAACAAAGTTGGTGACACAAAGTACTTCTCGATCAGGTCAGCCAGAAACATACCTGTGGTTTGGGGGATAGAAAGCAAGGAGAAGAAGAGGACAAATGAGCCAAACATATGCCACTGTATTTCAAAACCTAAATGAAGTTAGTGAAACATGGTTCACTTACCCACGATAGAGAGAATGACCACAACACAGTCAAATATGTTCCAGCCATTGGTGAAGTAATAATGACGCAGTGAAAAGAGCTTCAGGACAAACTCAGAGGTGAAGGACACGATGAAGATGAAGTTAACCCAATACAGAATGTTTTCAGTCTCCTGTGACTGATCGTCTGTCTCAACCATCATGGTGACCATGTTCAAACAGATGAGGATCATGATGGAGATATCAAAGACCTGCTGTGTCACAAAGTCAAACACCATGCCCTGGAGCTTGTTCTAAAGAAGAGGAGAAATTAGCATAGATTTGAGATTAGGACTCTATTCAAGTCAATTCAATGAGCGAAATATCACACTTTTCATCAGTGTTGTACCTGGGGTCTGGGTATGGGTTTCTGAGGTTTCTTTGAGCCAAGCTTCTTCATAGCATTGTAGTACTTCTTTTGTTCCTCTGTCATGAAGATATCCTGACCTCCAAAGTATAGTCATAAACAATATTTGGTTAAAATCTGCTCCGCTAAAGTCCAAATATGCTGTGAAAATCACTCGTTTAAATGTAAAGAAAATGTTTAAATCATTTAAAGTGAAGAAAAAAAAGTGGAGACTTATCTTTTTCTTCTGCTGGTTGAAGTTATCAATGATGACACCAATGAAGAGGTTGAGTGTGAAGAAAGAGCCAAATATAATGAAGATAACAAAGTAGATATACATGTAGATGTTGTCCTCATACTTTGGTTGGTCTCCCACCTGAGGAGAGAAAGATAGTTTAAATGGGTACTTTGACTCAGGTGGCAAGTAAGATTGCACAAACATCTCACCTTTCGTGAATCAATTGCTGCATACATGATGTCCATCCATCCTTTAAAGGTTGCCTAAGCAGCATAAAGGGAAAGTTAATATCAGTGTTTAACATATTTCTTCAGCCAAAAAAACAGCTTACTAGAAACTAAAAGCAGGCAGGTAGTCTTACCACTTGCAGTAGAGCCAAGTAACCAGCACCCACATTGTCAAAGTTGATTTTGACGTTTCTCCAGCGCACCTCAGTGAAGTTCTGATCTATCAGTGCTTGGCACTCTGATTTGTTGTTGACTACATCAATTTCGAACATTGCCTTTTCAGTCGCATTGTAGCAGTAGTAGTACTTTCCCGCAAACAGGTTGACACCCATGATACTGAAAATCAGCCAAAAGATGAGGCAAACCAGCAAGACATTCATAATGGAAGGGATGGCACCCACCAAGGCGTTGACTACCACCTAGACCAGAGTAGGACAGACAAGGCGGTACAATGTAAGAGACCCGAAATGGCCCAGCAAATCCTCAAACAGAAACACATTTAAACACTCTCACATTTGTGGCTGCATATTTGCATGGCATAAGAAAAATAATGGCACTATGAACATTGCTCAGTGTCCAATATTAACAAATAATAAACTATCTTTGATTCATGTTTCAGTCACATGGCCATCCAAGAAAATTGCTTCAAAGCTTATTGTCTACACTGCCTTTATTTTGTTTCAGCCATAGGTGGAGTGTGTGTAAGGCTTAGCCTTCCCCTGCCCTGGGGACTTGGGGCAAAAATGCCTCTAAATTGGACAAAAATCCCCCTGTACAAACAAATTAAAAATATTACGTCTGTTGCTAACAAAGTGAAAATGAATAGACAGTGTCGATTGTGGCATTAAATTAAGATCTGATCATATTGTACCGTATTTCATGTTAGGCGTTTTTAAAGTGTTGCTTATTTTAACCAATCACACACAATTCTATTGAGCTTAGGAATGCAATGGCCAATCAGAGGCGTTCAGTTGAGTCATCGCTGAAACTCATCAGTTTTGTTCATCAGAGTGCGTGCGCGTTCTCTGACTGAATTCCGGACTCTTGCGAATTCTCTCATCATAAACAACAAAGCGCAGATGTACATACAATGTAAGCAAGAGATTAATTTCACAGTGTATACAGCTTCAGTGATTATAACGGTAGTTTAGTTTTTTGAGAGTACTTAAACTCGTGATAGATCAAAGTTAGTGATAATGTCACTTTCTATAGCCTATATAATTTATTCGCTGTTTGAATAGCCGTGGAAAGGAAACGTTATATAATTATAAATTTCTAATGTTTTTATTCAATTGTAATCACGTTAAATACAAATTCAGTCCCATTAAACATGTTTTATTAGCCTACATGGCACCCATGTCTGGTTCTTGCCTAAAAAGACGGGGTTATGACGTTTAATACATTTGGCTGCTTTTAGCCTTACCCTGGAGTTGGTTCACCCTCCGCCTATGGTTTCAGCTCTATGTTGAAAATATTTCCAAGGTTCCTGCTATAATTCTACATTTGACTTTTTTGTTGTTTTCCTATAGACGGCAGTTTCAGATCAGGGATCTGAGCTAATACTAAGTCTTAAATTTGGCTGCAAGAAGATTTTCATTGTAATGACGATGTGTTCAGCCTTGTTATACCAAAAGATTGAATTTCTCCCAATTCATTCCAAAGTTTTTTTTTTTTTTTCAAAAAAAGTATGAATGATGCTTGTCTTCAGTCTAATGTAATGCAAGATGATGACATCAGTTAACTTTCTGACAAAACTAGCAACCAAAAAATATTAATTTGCACCCCTGCACATAGTATTTTTTGGTTGTTCCAAGAACTGTTTTATACCTAAAACAGCAGTTCTTATATGACGACTTACAGTGTTGGGGAAAGTTACTTTTAAAAGAAATGCATTACAATATTGCATTACTCCATAAAAAGCTACCAATTGCATTGTTTTCTATGGAAAGTAAGTCATTATGTTACTTTTGCATTACTTTTTGCCACCTGGGCTGGGCTTGCTTATTTATTTTTTAATAACAAGAAACCCAAAAGTTATATTTTTTTGCAACTGTAAAGAACTGTAATTAAAAATTAGACAAATTTTGTAATCATTATGTAAAATTAGCTACAGGACACCCCCCCCCAAAAGGGGCACTTTAAGAGTGATTAGTTGAGATTAGTTAATAAATATCAATTTATAAGCAAATGATTAAGTCTTTTTAAGGTCATTAATATTCATGAGTGAAGCAATTAACTTAGTGGGATTTGTAAATTGATTGGTTATTTCTTTGCATAAATATAAATTCATTGGTATAGTACTGGTGTACATGTGTGGTTTGGGAAATCTTTTTTTTTTTTACTGGCCATGCTGTCAGCACAAATAGCTTTTTTTGTTTTCCTTGGGTGGCCTATGACTTTTTCAAAGTAAATACTATTACTTGTCTATACTAGTTTCAAAGCCAATAAATCCTTTGAATCCCAAAAATTTGAATCCTAAATAGGTGGTTTCTTATTCTGGCCCTGGATTATCCCAGCACTGCACAATGTGGAAAGATGCATCCAAAATTACACACTGCATTCGATGAAGAACCTACAGAACGTACTTTATTATCAGTATGTTAGTTTATGTTAAGTATGTAGGCGTGTAATATGAATACAATACATACAAGACATACTACATCCACCATGTTGGCACTGTTACTTGACCTATGAGTTGTAGAGGAGTGCGCATCAGATGCACAATTCAGAATCTCTGTGAAAAACCGCATGTCATTTGAGTATATATATATATATATATATATATTTTTTTAGCCTAGTGTTTTATGAATACTGCGTATTGAGAAAAGTCCTAAAGTCCTACTCATCAAATGCACAGTGCTGAGGTCTTCCAGGACTACAGCCCTAAATAGTAGCTCTCTGACTAAGCAGTATATTTATAAAAATTAATGCAACACCTTCCATACAAATATGCCACAGACTCACACAATGGACTTCTACATCCCCAAAGCAGTTGCATCCTTAAAACTACAACCCACCACCCAACTACTTTAACATTGCCTTGGCAAGCTTGAGTAACTTAAACCCTTTTTTTTTTTTATATCAACCCATCCTCCCCACAATCCATTTGCCTCCACATCCATCCCCTC